TGTGCTGGTGTAATAAATCGCCTGATAGGACCATGATGAAACTCACTTTTAAAATAATGAATACTGGTAATCCCCATAACAGAGAGGCTGCTGAAATAAGGAGTTGCTGTCCCACAGGATCTGTTTATTCTACTCTTGGGATTTGATTATGTGCTATGGACATTCATAGGCAAAAAATGCATGATAGACACTAGCCTAGGTTGAAATAAGACTCTCCTGGCTTGCATACTACTTTATGTCATCAATCTACTATGACTTTGCTTAGAGAAATTGATGTCTTTAAAAACTCAAGTTTCATCTCACCTGGACTGTGTCCCCACCAAGGGTTGGCCACCTTCTGTTCCTCTCCTGTTCCTTCTATATACAATACTATGGCATCCCAACATGGAATGTTCCAGGTTCTACTTGGCATGTACAAGAATGGTTTTTCTGCCTTGATTTCCTTCTCAGAGTAATGGATCTGGACATTAATAAATGCTTATTGACCACCTCTTTTAGGCCCTGTGACCTCTAAAGGGAAGTACAGGGGCCAGGGTGAAGGCCAGATTTCCCCGAGGGTCCTAAACAGTCTTTGACAGTAGGAAGACTGCTAGATTCTACTCCACAAATGGCTGTCCGAAGGCAACAGTTCCCCCAGTATGATTTTCCGCCACCATCAGCAGTTGGTGGCATCTTCAGAGCCTGCTAACATGTTTATCTCCCAGCCCTCTAGGAATCAAAGTCTGGGCTGGGTTCAGAAACCAGTTTCCCCAACCCCCAAAGGCATCTTTGGTACCCTTCAGTCCAGGAGCCTTGGGTCCAGAGGGTGGATCTTCCATCTCTAACAGCAAGTGATAAGAACACGGGCAGTGAACAGCATACATCTGGGTAGTGCCTGCCCATCCCACCAATACTTACTGGATTCCCCCAAGAGTCAGAAGTGAGTGGGAAAAATAAGGCAGTGGCTACCCCTTGCCTTGTGAATTAGGCAGATGGTAAGCACCTGAATGCCTGGAAGTTGTCCTGCATATAGAGTCCTGGGATTCTAGGCATACCTGAAAGGGGTCCTGCATGTAGATACCTGGGGTTCTAGGCATACCTTGGTGCATCCCTGAGCGTAGAGACCTGGTGTTAACTGACAGGCCTATAGGATTGCAAAGGAAAGCTGGAGAGAGAGCTCTATCCTACAGAGGGGAAGATATTTGGGTCTCTCCTGATGACCTGTTTTCACACAGAAAAAGGAGCTTCTGTGAAAACTAAAAGTATCCAAAACACCTGAGATAGTTAACTGGGAAATGACGAATACAGCTGACATAGTTAGCTGGGAAATGACATTTTGTAACTGGTTCAGTTAGATACATTTTGACTTGGAGATTTAACTGATTTAGCCTGCTCCATTCAATCCATTCACAATTCTGACTGAGATGAATATGCCAGGGACAGAGTAAGGAAACAGAAGTGTGGGTGAAAGGCAAGGACTGAAGGGTTTTGCCAGGTGGTGTGAAAAAGCACGCTGTGCCTCAGGCTCATCTGCTATCCCATGAGATACCCAAAGACATCCCTGTCTTTATAGGACAGAAATACAAATGAAATACATACAGTCCAGGAAAAAGCCCAGGCAAACATGAAGAAGCAACCTGTACCCCACAACACACATACCGTGGTCAAGCCGAGGCCTCAGTAAAATCACTCCCTTCCAACACAGATACGCTGAACCTAGGAACAGCACTCTCGAAATATTCTAGGGAGATTCAAGATGAGGGTCCACAAAGTACAGGTGAATGTCTTGGTGGCCATGGGGACTTCAGTACTGGAGAAATGCTATAAATACTGTAATTATAATTAGACACAACTGAAGTTCAAGGGAGAAAATGAACTGGATTGTTTTACCATTCTGTATGGCATCTATTTACAATCCTGAT